CTTCAGAGTGCTGTCAGGAAAACTTATCCAAGAGGGTGACTGTACAACCTTTAGCTAAAACCTTGGAAAGGTGAAGAATCAGAGTATTATTCAGTCACACAATGGGCCCTTAACAGAGTTAAAAATATGCCTCACAGACTCTCTTAATAAAATAATAGGGCCTCTAGGAAGTTTAAGGTTGCTAACTCTCAGCAGGAGTGCCAATGAGAAGCACAATGTCGTATTTTTGGGAAAACTGTATCGGCAAAAGTACTGCCAGCGTGGAGTGAGGGGGCAGAGACAGTACAAAATAAGAGAAACCAGTGGACTTCCTAATTCTACTGACAGATATGATCTGAAAAAACCACTCAGCTGCAAACATGCACTACCTCTTTTTTTTTTAAGGGTAACTTAGAGAGTGGAAGCAAGGGTCCATAGGGCAGAGCTGAGAGCCATGGAGAATTATTTCCATGCCTTAAAACCTAATAAAGAAAGTCCAACATTTGCCTGACCAGATTTCAGAACTGCTACGGACCAGTGACTCCGTGTTTCCATTTTCCTCCTATTTGGATAGGAATGTCAGCAGCTCTTCTCCTCTGCCTGCCGCACCATTGCATGCCAGCTGTGTTCAGGGAAGGCAACTCAGTCTCACAGACCTCCTGATGGGGGACTGAGCTCAAGCAACAGCCCCTGCCCGACTGGTGTGACTCAACGGTTGAGCGACGACCCGTGAACCAGGATGTCATAGTTCGATTTCCGGTCAGGGCACATGCCAGGGTCGTGGGCTTGATCCCCGGTTGGAGGGCGTGCAAGAAGCAGCTGGTTGATGATTCTCTCTCACCGTTGATGTTCCTATCTCTCTCCCTCTCCCTCTCTCTCTCTGAAATCAATAAAAATAAAAAATAAAAAAAATAACGCACACACATGCCCCATCAAACACATCTGTGACCTGCAGGCAGAGAGTTCGAGACCCTGAAGACTGTTGTATTAGTGTTTCTAGTTTTAGAAAAAGAAAAGAAACAACACATAAAGAGCTTTGTCCACACCTGGGCCTGATTTATGGAAACAGATTCTAGATATGAAGGAGCTGCTGCAATGAGGTGAGACGTTTGGAGATCTTGGGAGGGGGTGAATGTATATTGCAAGTGGAAGGGACGTGTATCATCGAGGGTGAGACGGGGCAGTTGACATGGCTCCAGGGTCCCCTATTCCTTGGTATTCATTCCACTAACCGCTCCCTCTGTGGGCCGGACTTACTGACTTGCTCCTAACAAATAAAATACGACAGAAGCGATGGGATGCCCCTTCCGAGATGAGAGGATAAATGACTGTGACTCTCTGGCTCACTCTCTCTGGCTCTTCTTGGCTCCATCACTCTGACGAAAGCAGCTTCCATGTGATGAGCTGCCCTCTGGAGAGGCCCACAGGGCAGGGAACGGAGAGGCCCCCCTCGTGGCCAACAGCTCATGAGGGACTGAGGCTCTCGCTCACCCTCCTACCTTGGTGAGGAGCTTTGGGAAGGGGTCCTTCTCTAGGTGAGCCTTCAGATGAGACTGAAGCCCCAGCCAACAGCTTAATCACAGCCTGTGAGAGCACCTGAGACCGAGGACCCATGGAAGCTTCACCTGCATTCCCGGCCCACAGAAACGGAGACAATATGGTGGTCTTAAGCCACTACGCGTTGGGCGGTTTGTTATGCAGTCTAGGAGGTTGATCTGTCTTCACAAGGACTCAGCGAGGTGTTTAGAGAAAGTCTTAACTCACCCTCTTTCACAGATGCAGAAAGAGGGTGAGTTAATAAACTGAGTGGTGTTGAAAACAAACCCACATCTTCTATGTCCTTCAAGTGAGTTTTCTGCTCTTGTCCTCATTCCCCATCCCCAGCCTCCCACCCGAGTGCCCACAGCAGCGTCCCATCTGCCCCCATGGCGCCCCCAGCCCACAGATGGGTGGACTCCCTGCAGGTTCTGACCTGAAGAGAAGGTCCCAAGAGACGTTGGTGAAGAAGGGAGGAAGAGAAGGTCCAGTTGCAGGCTGGGCACTCTTCACTCACAAGCAACTCTAAACAGGAGAAGGAAGATGAAGTCTGGATCATGATAGACACTCCCCCCACCCTCCCACCCACCTGGCCAGTGCCTGTCTGACCTCTCCACTCTCCGTTATAACGTCAGAAAACATGTGAACCGCTCTGGTGTGTGCTGAAGCCCAGGAATGCAGATCTGCACTGCACAGTTGCTGAAGACCAATGAGTGGTTGCTAGGGAGCAGCCCTTCCCTGCTGTTCATTGGAGTCTCCATGGCAACCCCTATACACAGGGCTCTGTTACCTCAGAGGGCAGAGAGGCCAATCATAGGGGCCAGAGGCCATGGAAAACCAGAACTGAGGGACAAAATGTCCCCTGAGCACCCACCATGTGCCAGGCTGTGTACCATCAAGTGGGAAGGAAGGTTTGGGATGACAAAGGATTAAGTAGAGAGAGATTCGTTCTATCTAGGGGGGAAAGACAGGGCTTAAAGAAGGGCCATGTGAGCTGAGTTTTGTAATATGCAGAGGAGTTCAACAGTTTAGAAGGGCCTCAAATATGAAAGGCATGGATGTGTTTATGAGCATACATGTAGGTCCAGGGGAGAGGGGAGGGAAGGGGAGGAGAAGATGCACTAACTGCCTGAGCTGGATGTGAAGGGCTCTGAAAGGAGGAGTAAAATTAAGGGGGCTGGCATAGTGGGGGTCTACTCTCCTCCTCTTGAAACATAAGGGCTTCAGAAGATTGTATGAGGTTGTGACTTGTGCAGTTGGTGCCAGCACTCAGTCCTGTCTCGCTGCTGCTCAGCCTTTCAGGGTCTCCCCAGGAGGCAGAGAGCCCTGTGGTTAAACTTGGGGTGCCAGAGTCTGGGCCTGCCACTTTTAAAAAAGAGTAGCTTTGTCCATGGGTGGGTTTTTGTTTGTTTGTTTGTTTGTTTATATTTTTTAATTGATTTCAGAGAGGGAGAGGAAGTGATAGATAGAAACATCAATGATGAGCAATAATCATTGATTGGCTGTCTCCTACATCCCCCTACTGGGGATGATAGGTTGACACTCAACCACTGAGCCACACCAGCCTGGCTGCCCATGTTCTTTAGGTGAACTTTCCTCACGTGTGAAACATATAATACATAACCCACCTCCAAGGGTAAGTGAGGACTGGACGTTTTGTGAAATGCCTTGAACATTGCCTGGCAGAGAGAGATGTCACCTATAACCCTAAGCTAACCCCGTACATGACCCATCAGCAAGTCCTTCAGAGTATACCAGACTCAGACCCCTTTATCCACCCCCTCACCTTTCCTGACCCTGGTCCAAACCACCACCACCTCTTGCCTGGGCTAGCACACTGGCCCCCTCACGGGTTTCCTGGTTTTGCTCTGTCCCCTAAATTAACTGCCTATAAGTGCATCAACGTACAGGCGGACCTCACAGGTATTGTGGGTTTGGTTCCAGGCCACCATGATAAAGCGAGGATCACGATGAAGCAAGTCCTACACATGTTTTGGCTTCCCAGGGCATATAAAAGTTATGTTTCCGATACAGTCCATCAAGTTTGCATTAGTGTTATGTCTAAAAAACAACACCTCTTAATTTAAAATACATCGTTGCTGAAAATTGCTAACCACCCCCTGAACCTTTAGCAAGTCATAACCCTTTTGCTGGTGGAGGGTCTTGCCTGGATGGCTGCTGACTGAGCAGGGGGGTGGGCTACTGCAGACTGGGGTGGCAGTGGCAATTTCTCAATAGAAAACAACTAGAGGTGCGATGCGCGCAGATTTGTGCAAGAATGAGCCTTCCTTCCCCTGGCTGCCAGCACCACCTTCACTCTGGCCAGAGCTGCCTCTCTGCCTTCCCATGCTGCCCAGAGGCATGGAGCAGCTGGGGCGGTATGGAACACCTGTGTCCAGCCCAAACCCCCCACCCCCCTGCTGCTCAGTGCCTGCATATGCAAATTAACCTAGCATCTTTGTTGGGCTAATTTGCATACACACTCCTGATTGGCTGGTGGGCATTGTGAAGGCACAGTTAATTTGCATCTTTCTTTTTTATTACTAGGGGTGTCGAACTCAATCAGAGAAGGGGCCAAAATCTAAAATCCAGCCTAAATCTCGGGCCGAATGGTTTACTGAACAGTCATAAACTGTCATTGTGATGGAAATGCAGGGGAGTGCAGTGATGACAGCGCGGTGCGGGCCACATTGCAAGGCCTGGCGGGACGGATTTGGCCCGCGGGCCTTGTGTTTGACACATGTGGTGTAGACGGAGCCTGCCACATCCACTGACTCTCCCTCTCATGAACAATTTCTCTGTGGCATGTGATGCTGTGGGGTAGCATTTTACCCTCAGAAGAACTTCTTTCCAAGCTGGACAGCAGGCAGTAGGGAACCCCCAGGAGGTGGGGCCTGGAGTCATCCTCTCTCCCCAGAGCCTCTTGCTGGAAAACTGGAAATCCAGCCACTTGGGTCCAGTCTGCCGGGTGGCTCTCTCCCACTGCAGCTCTGGTTCACCTGCGGAGCTCCTGTCCCGGGGACGGAGGGTCTTACTCTGAGCCAGGAAGGTCACCTAAGGTGGTGGCCACCTTCCCTTGGCCTGCTGCTGAGCATCTCCTCTTCCGAGGCCCCAGGGCCTGTGTTGTGTGACACCTCTTTCAATAGCCGTTCTGAAGGCTAGCTGCCCCTCCCCTCCCCCCAGTCTCACTCCCCACACACACACCCAGAGGGCTGGGCCTAGAGCAGGGGTTGGTGCCTGGCCAGCTGTGGCTTCACTTCTCTCCGGCTTCCTGGTGCCCCTTCCTTGTAGGGCCCAGCATGCCCCACCTGACATGGGACAACAGGTGGCCTCCTTTGCCAAAACTAAGTAATAAAGTGGCTACCCAGCTGGCAGGTGCTACAGAGTGTCTTTCCTTGGGGGTTTTTAAGACATCAGCCGGAGATGGAAATATGGAGTATGCAGGGCAAGGAGGGAAGCCAGGCAGAGACGGGCAGACACAGCACTCAGAAAAAGCCACGTTTATTCCAGCTTTGTGGTTGGGGGAGGGGTAAGGAGAGAGCTTTAGCCACAACCCTAAGATCTCCTAGGTGGAGCTAAGAACCAGCTGCAGGCCATGCCAGTCGCTAATCGTCTGAGCTCTGGGCGAGCAGAGAGCCTCCCTGCTCAGGCCTTCCCGTCCTTCGACTGGGACACGCGGGTCTCTGGGGGGGCCCGGTGGAACCACTCGAACCAGGAGCCGTCATAGACGGCCACGTCGGGCTTGCCGAGGAGGTAGGCGGCCAGGGCAATGTGGCAGGCGGTGACACCCTTACGGCAGGTGGCGATGAGGGGCTTGGCGAGGTCCACCTTCTTGGCCTCGAACATAGCTCGGATCATCTCTGGGCTCTTCTCAAGGCCGTCCTCCGTCAGGAAGTCCATGAACGGCATGTTGAGCGAGCCTCGGATGTGGCCCGAATCCAGTCCTGGGGAGGGGCAGAGGGCGAGGGGAAGGGCAGGATTAGGCAGGCATGGGGGTGGGGCAAGTAGGGCCTGGAGTCCAAAACCATCAAGGCTATCAGGATAGGGCGCTTCGCAAAAACACAGATCGTCTTTGCCCTTCTCTGAGCTCACCTATATTCTTCTCTGAGCATTGGCTGTAGGCCTTACTACAAAGTGTCCTCTCCCTGCAAAACTGCCTCGAAGTAGGAATTTCCAAAATCATACCTGCCTGAGAGGACAGGGAATGAGCCTCAGCTCTACCACTTATTAACCTTTGCCTTGGGTAAATCGTATCACTTTTCTGGGCCTCAGTTTTCTCATCTGTAAAATGGGCTCAGCGGTACAGCCCCGGCTCAGAGGGTTGTTGAGAAGAGCAAGTGAAATAATGTGGATGCTATGAGCTATGTCAACTGCTGAGAATGCAGAGGTGAAAGAAACTCAGCTCCGCTCTCTGGGAGTATGTATGGTCCAGCAAGGACGAAAGATGTTAAACAGACACCCTCAGAATTCATTCATCTTAACATGGCTCCATTTTAAAAGGTGATTATTGAGGTTGACTAAATAAACCGGTTTCCTAAGGGCACACCGAGAAGTAAGGGCAGACCCAGGATCGCAGTCACTGGGTTTTCCTGTTAAGCACACAGCTGTGGAAGGAGCATATGCCCTGGTCTTCGACAAGTTCAAATCCCAGCTCTGACACTTACCAGCAAGGTGGCCTTCAGCAAGTGACCTCACTTCTCTGAGCCTGTTTCCCCATGGGTAAATGGGAATGAGCAGAGTCATTGTAAGGACAGCAGCACTGACTACTGAGGCCGCCTCCCACCCTCAGTTGCTGTCGCTCCCACCACTTCACCGCCCCCGCTAGGGACCCTGGGCACACAGTAGGTGTGGTCATGCCAGCAAAGCCCCAGTCCTCTCCCCCAAGGACAAAGAGGATTCTGGAATTTGCTGGCACAACTCAAGAGTTTCTTTGATTAAATAGATGCCCAGCTTAAAAAACTACAGCAATTTCTTCCTGTGCTGATCTCCCCTTTAAAAAAAAAAAAAATTATTTCATCTTTTAGTCTGGCAACTTTAATCTCGAGATTGGATGGTGCTGACCCTGCCAATGAGAAATATTTTACCTGTCGGCTCTGAGGATGCTCTTTGCCAAGAAACCCACTTTAAGATGGTCAGCATCCACGCAGTGGGCTGAAGTTAGTGCATTTAAGAGCACAAGCGCCTGCCGAGTTCTGAATGCTGATTTTCCTTCTGAAACAGCTTCATTGTTTCCCTCTGATTATGTAAGAGGCGCCTCTTAGGAGTGAAGAAGTCAGAGGATGGGGCCCCTTTCCTCTCAGCCAGCAGGGGCTCAGGGTGTGTCTGAGGAATTTAAATGAGCAGGAACTGCCTGTCCTGCCCACACCTGTATGCGTGTGTACATGCGTGCATAGAGGGGAAGAGTGAACCCAGCCCAGAGCACCTTGGAGAACAGGCAGCTGTGATGGGCCCAGAAGCTCCTGCTGCTTTTTCCAGGTTCAACTCCAGCTGCAGGCTCAGCTTTCCCAACCACCAAGCTCACAACCTCTGGCTTCAAGCCCCCAAAGGACAACCTCAAGAACCTTATCCTCTTGGCACTAATGGGGAGTCCGGGCTCAGAGAGGTGAGGGAACCTTCCCCAGGACACACAGCACAGGAGTGTGAAGGCACACCGTGCTCTTTGACTGCCCGGGCCTTCCTGGAAGAGGGGGCTGAGGTGGGGGGGATGAATGAGACGACCCCTCATTTTCCTCAGCTGCTCAGAGGTCTGGGACTCTGTGCTCCAGCTCTGGCCACAAAGATGCCAGTCAAGTTGGTGAGGCTACTGGTAGGTGTGGGTTTTCAAGGCCAGGAAACCTGTTTGGCTCTTTCTTCCTAAAGGCACTAAGAAATTCGGTGCAAGTAGCGCCAGTGGGTAGCCCCCAACCCAGGCCCCTGGGAGGCATCTTAGCACCCTCCCACACCCTACCCCAGCCCCCAGACTCTCAAGGGAGAGAGGCAGAGGGGCCACAGGATCCCGTAGCCTCAGCACACAGTGAGGGCTTTTTCCTCCGTCTGTGTTTGCTGGCACACAGTGGTCCGGGAAACAGCCCCGCTTTATCCCCTGGGCACACAGTAGGTGTGGTCATGCCAGACTGCAGACTGGGGTCAAGCCTTGGCCACGCTGCCTCCTTAGAGAGGTCTCTGCTCCCACCTGCAAAGCGGGACCAATTCTAACCGCCACCTGCCTCCCTGGGCAGGGCTGCTGTGGCGTCTGTAAAGGCTCTGCAGCCGAAGCCGGTGTGGCTCAGTGGATAGAGCCCCGGGTCTGCGGACTGAAAGGTCCCAGGTTCGATTCCGGTCAAGGGCATGTACATTGGTTGCGGGCACATCCCCGATAGGGGGTGTGCAAGAGGCAGCTGGTCGATGTTTCTCTCTCATCGACGTTTCTAGCTCTCTATCCCTCTCCCTCCCTCTCTGTAAGAAAAATCAATAAAATAGATTTATAGAGGCTCTGCAAATACAGTGCTCACTAGGTCAATATCCTCCCTCTTCAGCCTTACCCCACCCCTGGGTTTATAAAGACGGAGCTGGCTCAGTTCCCACCTGATTCCCCTTCACCCCAGGCTTCTCCAAGGGGAGCAGTGTCCTTTCATCCGGGTTCAGAGGTGAAGGGACTTGCTCGAGGCCACACGCAAGGGCCACAGGCGTCTGCCTCTCCCCCGCTCCCCTCACAAACGGGACCAGAGGTACTGGGGGCACAAACCCTAGGCCCGAGGGGGCGTGGCTTGCCTAGGTTTTGCAAGAAGTGGCCTTGCTTCCTCCCGGCTCTTCCTGGGACACTCCTTCCAGGGCTGCCCGGGGCCCGCCACCCACATTCCCCCGGGTGTTACATCCGGACTGCCGGGCCCACGCGCTGCCTCCCTGATCCACCCCGAGTTGGCGACCAGGAATTCAGCGGGACCTCATGTGCCTTTGTGTCCCCAAAGTGCCCTGTACGGAAGGAAGGCCAGCAAAGCCACTTAGGTAGTAAGGGAGGGAAGGGCTCCGTCCTCCATGCCTTTCCAGGCGGCCTTAGCCTCTGTAGTTCCTCCTCACCCTTCTCAAAACACCCTCCCAGCCACTGCTGCTTTTAAAGGAATACTGCCCCCAGGTGGGCAGGGCTGGCTTTCGCTTCTCCTTTTACAATAAAGGAACCCAGAGAAGCTGAGCAATTAGACTGAGGTCCCACCCGGTTCCTGACCTCAACTAAGACCCACGCTCCCCAGGCCTCCAGATGGGAACTGTGGGAGGTGAGAATAGGGCCACAGGGCAGGGGGCAGGGCTTGGAAATTCCAGACTTCCAAGAGGCATCACATGCAGCAGGCGGTTTCCCCTCTCTGTGCCTCAGTCTCCTCATCTCTAAAATGGGTCTGGCATCCCTTCCCTGATTCTCACAGAGCTTGGGGCTAGCTGGAAAGCAGCTGGGGAACAACTCCACCAGTCTCCCCTCCCCTACATGCCCTCCCCATCAGGCAGCTTAAGTCCCAAGGAGAGAAAGGCGTCTTGAACCAAGGCCATGAGGGAGTTGCCAGAACGCCGTGCCAGGAGTCTCTAGAAGGTGCCAAATGAACTTGAATCTTCAACTCTGGACCTTCAGAGAGCAAGCTGGGCAAGGAAAACACAGGACGTGGAAAAAGCCCACGACAGGGGCGCGGAACGCTGCGTTCTCCTGACTCATCCACGAACCAGCCTCGTGGCCTTGGCCCCGCCCTCCCTCCCGGTACCTCAGTCTCCCTTCTGTCCGATGAGGTGCCTTTCAGGCCCTCCAGCTCAGAGTGTTGGAAACGGCTTTCCGAGTTCTCTTCCTCGCACAGACAGGAAGAGACATTTCTCAACAAGTTGGGCAACATGCTGCAAAGGAGTTAGATTCTGCAGAGAAACCCTGACCCAGGGCAGAACCACGGCCCCAGGAGGTGGCCAGGCACCCTGAGGGCTCAGGCCAGCCTGGGCCACGAGAAGCCCCAAGAGCACTGAGGTCCAGGGCGCCAGCAGGGGAGATGGCAAGGCCTCTGAGGTCTGTGAGGCGGGTTCTAGAACTCTGTGTTTCCTCTCCCGAGACAATCCCCTCCCCTGCAGTCCAGAACCTTCCACAAGGAGAGGGAGCACTCATGTGCCATCTCCCTGCTGATCCCTAGGGAGGGGGCTCCCTCCTGACCCTGCAAGGCAGGGGTGGGCAGAAAGAGCAATGCATCCTGGTTCAGGTCGCTGGTTTGAAGCGTGCAGGCAGCACTGGATTCCGATCTTCACTTGGCCGTGTCACTGAGCAAGTAACTCAATATCCTGGCATCGCCGTTGCCTCCCCTCTCACACGGGGACATGAAGCCTCGTTGGATGAGATAATGTGATGTCCAGTGCTCAGCAGATGCCGTTGTAGCTCTGCAGACAGGCTGCAGCTGTCTGGAAAGGTCAGGGGGCCTGGGAGAGCTGGAGAGGGTGGTGTGTGTGTGTGGGGGGGGGAGATGGGGGGGTGACGGGGAGGACATTGCTGGCGTCCATAAGGGTTTCTGAGGAACAGAGGCCCTGGGACCTAGATGTCCTTGAGAGGCCTCCGTACAGTCATTTGTGCCTTTGGGCATGTGGGGAGCTAGTGCCTGGTATGGGTGTGGGCAGATATGTCACCAGCCACTCCTGCTGATGCCACCCTGTACAGATGCTAGGGGCCTGTTGGCACAGAACTATGGGACCACATATGGAGGTCTTCATGCATCAGAGGGGAAAAAGCCTTTAGGTTCGGCTCTGTCCTCTCAATTCACAGATGGAAAAACTTAGGCCCACCTAGGAGGTCCTGAGGGCAAAACGCGCAGAGGGTCCCAGCCATCCTTCTCCCCCACCCTTCTCCCATTGGGCACTCTTCTCCAGGGACCAGCCCGCCCGCTGGGACACCTACCTACGGCATCCGGCTCGGGCTCGGTGCCCAGGTACCGCCCCTGGGCCCGCGAATCCACCAGCTGGAACCTCTTGGACTCAAGGTTCTCCAGCACCTGCTCGTAGGTCTTGAGCAGGGAGCGGTCCAGGGTGGCCTTGAAGACGGCGGGCTCGGGGCGGGAGGGTTCGGACGTCACCGGGTGGCCCTCCTTCAGCCAGTTCCGGAAGCCGCCGTTGAGCACGGACACGGTGCGGTGGCCGAACACGCGGAACATCCACCACACGCGGGGCGCGTAGAAGCTGCCCAGGTCGTCGCCGTCGTACACCACCACGTGGGTGTCGTTGCCGATGCCCAGGCGGCCCACGTAGTCCGCGAAGCCCGCCTCGCTGGGCAGCATCATCTCGTAGGGGGATGCCCGGTCCCTGCACTCCTCCATGTCAAAGAAGGAGGCGCCGGGCACGTGGCGCTCCAGGTACTCCCGGCGCGCGTCCCGGGTGCCCGGCGGGTACCAGGACGCGTCCAGCACCCGCAGGCCGGGCCCCAGCTTCCCGGCGCGCACGGACTCGGCCAGCCACCGGGTGGAGACCAGCGCCCGGTAGAGCACCTGGCGGACCATGGCTCCGGCTCGGCGCGTCACCTGGCGCGGGTGGGGACCGGGAGAGAGACGGGCGTGAGGACCCTGTGGTGGGCAGCGCGGCGGCTGGGGCCTGGGAGGAGCTGGAACCCTTCGGGGTGGGGCGTTTGCAGCCCCACAGCCGGGGGTGCAGGGGGATAGGTGGGCAGATCCCCTAAGGAAAGCCTCCTCGGTCCGGGGTCCCATCACGGAAGGGGATGGGGGTGGGGGTGGGGTAGCTGGCCCTAGAAGCTACAATACTTGCCCTCAGGACCCAGCCGAGAAGAACGGCGGACAGATGCCCAGGATGGGGGGGAGATGGCATCTTGGGCTTAGAGCCCCCGTCCCAGGGAGGGCAGGTGAATGGCTCGCGGGGGAGGGTCCGCCGGAGCCCCGCACTCTCCCCGCCCCCCTAACCCGCCTCGGGTCTCCAAAAGCCTTCCTGCGGTCTCCGGGCAGCCCGGGCCAGCCTGCCTCCAGGATGCCCGAGTCCAGCCCCGGGTCGGTGCCCTCTTGCCCAGCTGGGTTAGGGGCTCCGGGGGCATCGCGCCCGCCCTCGCCACGGGACCTCGCCCTAACCGGCGGCCCGATCCCTCACCCGCCGCCGCACTTACTCGCCCTCGCAGCCGCCCGGGCTCCCGCCCCTGCCCGCCGGAGGAGCTGTCGGTTCAAACCCGGGGCCGGCGCCTCCCCGCCGGCACCTCCCCTCCCGGCACCTCCCCGCCGGCCTGCACCATCCGCCGCCGCCCGCGGGGGGGACGCGCGCCACGCGCTCCGGCCCCGCACGCCCCGCCGCCCCGCGGCGCCGCCCCTGCCCGTCCCCCCGCTCGGCGCCTCTCCGGTCCCCGCAAACCCCGCCGGGAGCGCCGGGGGGCATCGGGGTGGCTCGGGGTGGGCCTCAGCGGCGCGGGCGTCCCCCAGGCCCGGCCGATGGGAGGCGCGGGCAGAGGCGGCTCCGAGTGGCCGGGGCGGGGGGCTGTGCCCTAGTCTCCGCCTCCCTCCGGCCGCAGGTGGGTGTCGGGAGGAGGGGACAGCGGCGGGCGCGGGGAGGGGGCACCCCGCGGCGAGGGCTATGGCCGAGCCGGGAGCCCAAGAGCCCGAACCCCGGGTAACTTTTACTGCGATGACGCGTTTGATTGCTAGGGGGGAGGCCGGTCTTCGGGGTGCACGGAGCGGGGGTCCCTGCGCGGCCTGATCGGAGGAGGAGGGCATTGCAGTCTGGGCGGGAGGGCGCGCTCCGTGGGTTTGCCCTAAGAATGGCTGGCTGTGTGCAGCGGCTTGGGGCGCCCTGCAGGGTGGGGCGGAGTGAGTGGCCCTGGCTGGGGGAGGGAGACACCTGGTGCGGCCAGGAAGGACCGGAGGGAGGGAGGGAGGGAGGAGGGACTCAAAGCCTGACAGATAAGCTAGGGAGAGGCCAACCGGCCCAGGGGTGGCTAGAGGAGAAACCTAGCAAGGAACTTGCTGGCGTGAAATGAAAGTAACTTCTGTCAGGGCCTGTGTGGGGCGGCACTTTTTGGGGGTGTTCCTTAGTTCCCATAATCGCCCCGCGGCCAAGGCCAGAACTTATTTAAAGAGCAAAGAGAGCAGCTGGGCTGGCTGCCCCGGGGCACTCGCGTGGAGGCCAGGCTGTGCCAGATCCGGAGCCCACGTGGCACCAGCCGCGTTTCCTTACCTTGCCAATCTGCAGGCCTTAAACTTAAAAATAAATAAATAAATAAATAAATAAATAAATAAATAAATAAATTTTTTATTGACTTTTCAAAGAGAGGAAGAGAGAGGGATAGAGAATTAGAAACATCGATGAGAGAGCGACATCGATCAGCTGCCTCCTGCACACCCTCCACCAGAGATGTGCCTGCAACGAAGGTATATGCCCTCAGTCCGCAGGCCGACACTCTATCCACTGAGCCAAACCGGTTAGGACTCCAGGACTTTAAACTCTTAAATATAATTGCCTTTGTTTTCTCATTTAACTGTAAGTTTATATACTTTCATCTTTAGCAACCAGTTGGCATCATTCCTGAGACCCTAACAACTGGTGAGGCCTCACCACCCAATACTTAGCTTTGGCATATGTGGTTACAGATACCTGGAATGCTTTTCTCATCCCCTTTGAAAGTGTTGTTTTGTTCTGAAAGAATTATATTCTCTCAGGAAGCTGCACAAAGCCATACTTGCAGGAGCATTTATCCAGCGAATCCTCTGAACTTTGTGCTTTGCAGCTGGGGTCCCAGGGAGGACAAGGCTGACAAGTCTTTGAATGCCAGTCTGATTGGAGCCTTGATCTTGGGGGGGAGGGGCACCCAGAGGATGGCCTGGGGCTCACACTCCCCCTGGTGCAGCTGGAGATGGGCCTGGGGCCAGCCTGTATGTCCTGGAGCCCTTCACTCCCAGACACCCCCACCTACACTGGTCCCGGCCTGCCAAGCACGCGGGAACCTGATCCTGCCCTTCGGTGACACGGGCAGCCTGCTCTCCCAGACCCTCCACCTCCCAGGTTTTTTTTAAGAACTGCCAATCCAGCAGGCAGCGTGGGGCGGGATGACTTCAAACCTCTGAAGTCCCACCAGTGAGCCCAGCCTGCATGGCTCAGTGGTTGAGCATTGACCTATGAAGAGGAAGTCAGGGTTCGATTCCAGTTCAGGGCACATGTTTGGGTTTCCGGCTCTATCCCCAGTCAGGGGCGTGCAGCAGGCAGTCAATCAGCGATTCTCTCTCATCATTGATGTTTCTATCTCTCCTCTCCCTTCCTCTCTAAAATGAATAAAAATGCATTTTTTAAAAAGGGCCACCTACAAGAGTAACTTTGAAAATCAAAAGCCATTTCGAATGATAATTAATGCCAGCATATGCATCACCACGGCCTCTGCACTCATTATTTAATCTTTGCTAAAAGAGGTGGGGTTTGGAAAGCCCTTTATGGGAAATGGCAACAGGCCAGGGAGCTTAACATGCACCTTCACATTGCCAGCCTGTTAACACACTGTGGACCAGCAGTGTTATTACTACTTTACCCAGTGACCAGGTAAGTTTCTATGAAACAAGTACAAAAGTTTTACATAAATGTTAAAGGCACGCTTTAAAATTAAATACCCGTTGCACGTTGAAGTCATTTATGACATGTTCTTATAAGCAACTATCTTTCTAAAGTATGATTGGCCACAAGCCTTAGAACACAAAGCAAGAATGGAATAGAATAGAAAAGAATAGAATAGAATTCTTGTGTTCCGTCCGCAATGTGTTAAGCTGCAGCGTGAACTTGGCACTGGCTCTCAGGTGGGAGTGGGGGGATCTGACCCCCAAACCATGGTTCTTTTCTTTCTAAATGTACCCTTGAAGCAAAGAGCCCCAAGAATGGTGGGGAGGGTGGGAGAGTCAGGGGCTGCTTTGGTTTAAGAAGGGGCCCAAGGCAAACCTCAATATCACCTAGCTGTGTAAGCCACAGGTTCTGGGGTCACCCCTTCACCAAAGCCCCCCGAAAAGGCCAAACCAGTTTGGATGTCCCCCTCCTCCAGGAAGCCTTCCCACACCTTCCATTCCAGGCCCCCCTGTGCTCCCGCTGAACTTCCTTCAGCTTTTCCTTAATTATACTGTACCGCAAGCCGACCTGGGGCCTGTCTTTACCTCCAGGACCTCGCCAAGTCAAGAGTTTATTTGTGTCCAGCACAGGGCCTGTGGACAACGTGGTTCTTTTTTTTTTTACATATATATTTTATTGATTTTTTTTTTTTTTTACAGAGAGGAAGGGAGAGAGATAGAGAGTTAGAAACATCGATGAGAGAGAAACATCGATCAACTGCCTCTTGCACTCCCCCTTCTGGGGATATGCCCGCAACCAAGGTACATGCCCTTGACTGGAATCGAACCCGGAACCTTTCAGTCCACAGGCCGACGCTCTATCCACTGAGCCAAACCGGTTTCAGCTACAACATGGTTCCTAAACCTCAGCCTGCAGTGAGACTGTGGGAGGGGGCTGGGCCTGAGGTCGCGCACAGTACCTTTAGGTTTGGACATCTCGGACCTACGCCTGGCGGAGAAGTGCAGCCTCAGGAGTTGAAATCTGGCTTCAACTCCTGAGGCTGCCCCTGGTCTGCTGCAGTGCGTAGCCTGTAGCCTGGCCCAAAGGGCCCTCCTGAAAACTCTTTTTCTCTACCATCCGCTTGAGGTGGAGATAAAGGCTGTGCCCTGCACAGGGAGCGCACAGCTGAGGGGCATGACCTGGAGGCCTTGCAAAGGGACGCCTTTCTCTAACCTGCACCACCGCCTCTGGGGGAGCTGGGGGCTGCTTGCACAGGGGCTGCCACAGTGGGAGCATCTCCGCTTTGGGAGACTGAGGGCCAATAGGACCGTGGCCGCTGCTGGCTCACAGGGAAGGGAGGGGAGAGGGAGTGAGGTGCTAAGTCACCGTTGCTGCTACAAGAAGATCCAGAGGGAAAGCTCAGGCTCACAGGGCAAAATCTGACTGTGCTGGACTCGGGGAGCCCTCAGTGCGTGTCAGTAAGGCCTGGATTCCCGCGTGGGACTGCCTAGTGTGCAGCCTGGTCACTGCTGCTCAAGTTAGGGCACTTCTAGGACTTCAGCGGCCCCTCATGAAACAGGGAGGATAATACCAAACCTCTTGAGGGACTCACTCAACAAATCACCTAGAGCAGGGTGGGGAACATTCGGCCTGCGGGGCCAGAAATCATTTGGTCTGGCCCAGTCAAGGCTTTAGGGGCCAGTAACTTAAATGTTTGACCACTATAGTAGGCTGATCTTTAAGTTGATAACTTTTGTTAATGTAAAAACAAAAAACATTGAAGCCAGTAAAGAATTTTTTGTGAGTTTACATGAGAGCTGCCCCGCCAAACTGTCAATATATACAGACCCTCAAGAAATTGAGATAATGCTTGGGAGAATGGCCCTTTACATTTGTATTCATACATTGCAATCAAAAGAGGGACATAGTTGGGTTACATAAAATTCATTGGTGATAGATTAAGGAGGGGGGGATAAAGCAAAGGGAGGGGGGCAGAGAAAGCCCTGGGATAGGATAAAAAGTAAAATGAAGGACACATACTTAGGTGGGTGCTGGAACAACTAACATGATAACGAAGGAATTTGATGCATCTGTCCTGGCGCCCACCACACTTGGTTGTGCCCCAGGGGCTCCCGAAAAAGGGAAGTTACAAGTTACCCAGACATTTCAAGGATACTGTTATCCTAGATGCAAAAAGACAGGCTCAGTTTAGGTAATGGTTGACCTTGTCAGTGAAGATACCGGCCTAGGACGTAACTGCCCACCATCACTGCGTTTAGTTCAAGTTTAATTTCAGACCATCCTTTGTGCTGATTCTAGGTCTCTGAGTTTGCAAGCCCACCATGCAGGCCTCCCCTGAGCTGTCAGATCAGCAAGTGGCCCTTCCCTCCACACTCTGTATAGCCTCGAATGATGTTATAAATATCCCAATGGCCTTGGCAGAAGAAACGTTTCCAGCCCACTCGGTGACCTGCCTTGTTCTAAGGCAGCGGTTCTCAACCTTCCTAATGCCACTACCTTTAATTCAGTTCCTCATGTTGTGGTGACCCCCAACCATAAAGTTATTTTTGTTGCTACTTCATAACAGTAACTTTGCTACTGCTATGAATCATAATGTAAATATCTGTGTTTTCCCCATGGTCTTAGGCTGGTGCTGAGGTCTGGATTCCCTGTGGGACTGCCTAGTGTGGAGCCTGGTCACTACTGCTCAACAGGTTGACTGGGTTTTCAACGAGAACCACTGCTGTAGAGCAGTGTTTCCCAAAGTATGGTACGCGTACCCCCAGGGGTACTGGAAGAGTTTGGTGGGGGTACGCATTGCACCGGAGTTTGGTGGGGATATGCACTGCACCGTGCTTAGATGCGCCTAAGCACCTAATACTGTTCTCATGAGTATGAGGGGTACTCAGCATTATGAAAATTATAGAAGGGGTACACATATGTCAAAAGTTTGGGAAGCACTGCTGTAGAGAATCACTGCTGTAGAGAACCGCTAGCAGGGTCGCCTAAGACCCCGTGGCATTAGGAAGGTTGAGAACCACTGTTCTAAGGTGGTGTGAGGATGAAACGGTCCCCACAGCCGGACCCAGTGGGCCCCCGCTACTCCTCCTTCTAGGCTGCTTGTGTAAATGCTGAGTGAATGCGTTTCTCCAGGGACCGTCCTTGCTGGGTGCACCTTCGGGAGGGCCTAAGGCTTTTGCCTCTGCTTGGGCCTTCTCCCAATGTGCCCCCCAGCCCCACGCAGCAAGCAGCAGCGAGGGGCCCTTCTGGCCCTTTCTAGGGGTCATGGTCATCGCTGTGCTGGTTATAGATCCAGGCGGGGGAGGGGAGGGAAGGCTGCGGTGAACCCAAGTCTGCACCTGGGTTCACCCGCGGCTGATTTTCTGAGGTCCCTGGACTCTGCCCTCCGGCGGCTCCACCTCCCCTCCGGGGCCCAGCCCCTGCCCCAGGCCCAGCCTCAGAGGCACGGGGCGTTTCCTGCCCTGGGGCCGGCCCTTCCTAGATTTCCTCCTGACTTTTCCCCCTTTTTCCCAGGCCCGCAGTCCCAGTGTCTCGGCCGCCGCCGCCATGGCCCGCCCGCAGCTCTTCCGCGCGCTGGTGTCGGCGCAGTGGGTGGCCGAGGCGCTGCGCTCCCCGCGCGCCGGGCAGGGGCCGCCGCTGCAGCTGCTGGACGCCTCCTGGTACCTGCCCAAGCTGGGCCGCGACGCGCGCCGCGAGTTCGAGGAGCGGCACATCCCGGGGGCCGCCTTCTTCGACATCGACCAGTGCAGCGACCAAACGTCGCCCTACGACCACATGCTGCCCGGCGCCGCGCGCTTCGCCGAGTACGCGGGCCAGCTGGGCGTGGGCGCGGGCACCCACGTGGTGGTGTACGACGCCAGCGACCAGGGCCTGTACGCCGCGCCCCGCGTCTGGTGGATGTTCCGCGCCTTCGGCCACGCCGCCGTGTCGCTGCTGGACGGCGGCCTCCGCAACTGGCTGCGCCAGGGCCTGCCGCTGAGCTCGGGCAAGAGCCGGCCCGCGCCCGCCGAGTTCCGCGCCACGCTGGACCCCGCCTTCGTCAAGACCTTCGAGGACATCAAGGAGAACCTGGAGTCCCGGCGCTTCCAGGTGGTGGACGCCCGCGCCGCCGGCCGCTTCCAGGGCACCGAGCCTGAGCCCCGAGATGGTAGGTAACGGGGTGGCCCACGGGTCTGGGGGGTGCCCCCACCGGGGAGAGGGGTCAGCGCCCGCGGGGCACCGCCCTGGCCTGTAAAGGACCCCGCGTGGGGTGGGGGCCCAAGGTGTGGTTTCTAGTCGCTCCCTCTGGGAGCCCCGCTGACTTCATTCCTCACCCGAGGACAAGGGACGCTTGGGGCCACGACTCCCCCAAGTTTGTTGGAGTCCCAGGGTGTATATATCTGCAAACCCAATGCTATGGATGGAGGGGGTCACTGTATAGGGGTGGGGGGGCAGGTCCGGTTTGAGAGAAGCCCCAAAGAAATGGCGCCTAGCCAGGTCTAGGCCAGCTCTGAGGGTGATGGGGTTGGAATAGAGGAGGCTGAGACACCCCCCTCCCCCCAATCCCCTGAGCGCCAGGGGACAGGGCTGGCAGAGGGCAGGAGAGGGGGCACTAAGCACATGTGTCAAACACAAGGCCCGCGGGCCAAATCCGTCCCGCCAGGCCTTGCAATGTGGCCCGCACCGCGCTGTCATCACTGCACTCCGCTGCGTTTCCATCACAATGACAGTTTATGACTGTTCAGTAAACCATTTGGCCCGCGATTTAGGCTGGATTTTAGATTTTGGCCCCTTCTCTGATTGAGTTCGACACCCCTAAAATAGAGGGTGGCTGCTGGCCGGAGTTGGGGCAGCATCTTCTGGGTGGGGTTCCATTCTCTAAGCAAGGAGCCTTCAGGGAGCCCATGTGAAGCAGGGAAGGGTCTCCACAAAGCAGGCGAGTCAGCGGCCCTCATGCGAGATTTTTCCATGATGCCTCAAGGTGTCCGCTGTCGCTGTAGAGCAGAGGAAGTGGAGCCATAGAATGGCGACCTGGCTGTGGGTGTCAGGACTTGAACTCCTGGATCCTGTGCATTTAATGTCCGTGAGCAGTGAGTCCCCAGCATCTCTCCCGCGCCTGCTTCAGGGAGGGGGTGAGGAACTTGCCCCTGGCTCTGGGATGCTCTCCTGAATGGCACCCCCGGGCCCTCGGATCCGGGGTGGGGCTTCCGGAGCGGGCAGAGCAGCTGGGACTCACCCTATCCCAGCCGTGTTTGGGACGGCCCCTTGAGTGTGGCTCTTCCACAACATACCACGTGTGGGCGTGCACGTACAGTGCGATTGAAGGAGTACCCTAATTAAGTTAATAGCAATGTACCTACCTATATAGTTTAGTTTATATAGTTTAAGTTTAAAAAATGTGACTCTCAAAAGAAATCTCCGTCGCGGTACTGTTGATATTTGGCTCTGTTGACTAGCCGCTGCTGACCACTGCCTTAGAGTATTAAATTCAGAAAGTCCCTGCCTCGTTGCTGATATCCAACCACTTGCAAAGCCATACAGGCTCGGCCCCATAAGAAGGCCATCTGGCTGTGTGACCCCTGGCAGCCACCTCATCTCTGACCTGCGGTTTCTGCCTGTGTACAGTGGCAGCAGAATGGGGAACTTCAAGGATGGGGTCAGGGTCAGATGTCACGTGGCAGCTCTGCGTTGGCAGGTGCACGCCGGAAACGGGAAGTGATCTAGTTACGGTGCTTACCTGGTTGTGGCTCTGACCTGGGTGCTTCACACTCACCTCAGCCAAGCTTGCTCATCCCTGAAACAGGACAGGAGATACACCCAGCAGGCCTGATGTCAGATGACCCAGTTGGGATGTGTGTGGTGTCAGGAAGCAGCCCAGCCAGGAGGGACACTTAATGTCAGTGAGCAGCAGCGCTAAGCCTGCGCAGAAGGTCACTGTCTCCATCCCTCCCGTCCCTGGCCCGAGACCCGGCCAAGTGCGCCTAGAATTGGCCACGTGGTCCCGGCCGGGAGGGGAGCCTGCTTTGCTTGGTGGGGTTCGAGGCGCAGGGACAGCACTACTCTGACCGGGCGTGGCAGTTTGCTGTGCTTCTCTGGATCCAAGTTAGTCTCTACGGAATGTCTCTGGCTGAGCCCAGTTCTGCATCCGTTAGCGGAGCTGCTGGCCCGCTCCAGCCTCACGAGGGGCTCCAGTCTGGCCATCTGTGTGGCCCTGAGGAGAGATAGTGGCTGCAGTCAGCACCTCCCTGGAGGAGTGTCATTCCACTGCAGAGGGTAAACTGAGGCAGAAGCCACCCTAGAGCTCCCGCCTGCCTCAGTTTCCCCTTGGGCCTCAGCCCCCCCCACTGTCTAGGCTTTTTGCTATGACGACCTTGAACCCCTCCAAGCACCTCCCGTTCCCACAGCCCAGACTCCTCTACCTGGCTGAATCCGACTCACCCTTCAGGGACTTCTCAGAGAAGCTTCTCTGACCACCCCAACCAGGCAGTGCTGCCTGATGGTTAGAGCACAGGCTCTGGGCCTCTGCCCGTACTCACTTGGGCAAGTTAGTCTGTGTGCCTCAGTCTCCTCTACAAAAGAGATGGTGGTAATTTCTTTCCCACAGCGTTTGGGTGGGGGGTAGGGGGGGAATTAAAGGAGAAAGTACAGCGGAGGGGCTCAGAACAGTGCCAGGCACAGAGTGAGCGGTCAGTGATGCCAGCTGTTATCTTATATGGTGTGCCTTTTGGCAACACTCATCATACTTTAACTGTTTAGCTATGGTGTGCCTGCTCTGCCGGATCTGAACTCCTGGGCTGCGGGCACTCCCTGACCTAGAAGCAGAGGCCTTGTTTCTCTCCATTGCCTCAGGGCACATAGTCAGTCTTCAGGAAACCCGGGCAGTGTGGCTCCGATGGGCTCTGAGTCTTGGGCTCGGATTCCCGCCATCAGTTGGCTGCAGGCACGAGCTTGGGCAGTCCTGAACCTCAGCCTCTCCGCCTGTGAAATGGGGATGCCCGTGAGTCGCACCCGGGCTCCCAGTTGTGCGGACCACGAGAGATGATGCCCATCGGGGGGTGCAGTGCCAGGGCGGCGGGGGCGCTGCCTACCGCCGGGGCCATTCACACGCCCTTGTGTCTGCCCCTCCTGCTGCAGGCATCGAGCCTGGCCACATCCCCGGCACCGTGAACATCCCCTTCACGGACTTCATGACCAAGGAGGGCCTGGAGAAGACGCCCGAGGAGATCCGCCGCATGTTCCAGGACAAGAAGGTGGACCTGTCCCGGCCGCTGGTGGCCACGTGCGGCTCCGGCGTCACGGCCTGCCACGTGGCGCTGGGGGCCTACCTCTGCGGCAAGCCGGACGTGGCCATCTACGACGGCTCCTGGGTGGAGTGGTACATGCGGGCCCAGCCCGAGGAGATCATCTCCGAGGGCCGGGGGAAGACCCGCTGAGGCGGGCGGACGGGACACAGGAAGCTCAGGGGGCGCCCGGCCACCGCGGGGCCAGCCTGGTCGTTCTCACGCTGTTCTCAGCAGAAGAGCGTTTCTTTCTCCAACTCCGGGGGCGCACGGGGTGCCACCCAGGAGGCCAGGACTTCCTCTGACTGTGGGCGGGTGGGAGGTGGTGGTGGACACAGGGCGAGGGGAGCCACCCACATGCAGTGGAGTCGGGCCCCACCTCCCTTCTGGTTTACTTCTGAGGAAATAAAAAAGCCAAGTGCTAAGTGCTTCTCACTCCGGGGGCTGCCTCGGTTTCCCAAGGTTTCCAGCACGCCCAGCAGCAAGGGGAGCTCCACGGAGCCCGAGGGTCTTGGGGGCCTGTCCCCGCCCCTGAGAGGAGCTGGGGACAAGGGCCAAATGCCTCCAACAACCATCCCCTACCCCCCAGTGCTGGGGCGCTCCCTTCCGGTTCCTGCACGGGTTCAGGTGAATGCTGCCTTGAGATGTCTGAGGCTCCCCTCAGAGTCCAGGGGTGAGGGTGCCTCTCATTTCCGGATAGAGGGGGTCCACAGGTGACCAGAGGCTGCCCTCGCTGAGGGGGCCGCCCCGGCCCCTGGGGATGCACTGGAGGAGGGCCGGATTTGGCTGAGTTGGAGGAGAATCTAATTTTAGACTCCGAGTCCACACTTGGAGGCTAGTCTCTGGAGCTGCCAGGGGTGGGCAGACCCAGGGGTCGGTCCTTTCTGCCCACGGAGAACCTCTTCCCCAGGCTTCCCCTGGGGAGCCACTCTGTTCTCCGCCCTCTGTCTGTGTCTTCTGTGCAGAGGTGGACAGAGGGGTGTGATATCCCCAAGGCTTCCGGTCAGCATCTGGGTCACCCTCCCCACCTACAAGCCACCGAGGCACGTCAGTAGCAAAGGGCCAGTGTCAGCCAGTATAGGGGGAACCCTAGACGGAGGGGGAAAAAACCAGCAGGCCATGACTTTCCCAAGGAAACCCCAGCCTCGCTGAGCCTCAGCTTCCTACCTGTGAGATGGGAACAATACGCGGTTCAGGAGAAGGGTTTTCAGACCGGGAGTCCCGTCTTTCCAGCTCAGGGTTGCTCATCTTCCGCTCTGTGGCCTTTGGGTCGGATCACCCCTGGTCCTGGGGCTGTGGGATGGTTGGCAGCTTGTCTGGCCTCTACCCACCAGATGCCAGTGGGCCCCTGACAACCAAAGCCATCTCCAGACATGCCCAGATGTAGGAGCAGAGGACACTGACCCCAATGATGAGAGAGAATCATTGGTTGGCTGTCTCCTGCATGACCCCTACTGGGGATGGCGCTTGCAACCCGGGCATGTGCCCTTGACTGGAATCGAACCCGGGACCCTTCAGTCTGCAGGCTGACACTCTATCCACTGAGCCAAACTGGCTAGGGCGATTTCTTCATCTTTAAAATGGCAGCGAGAGTACCTTCTTAGAGCAATATGGGGATTGAGTGAGAGAACCATAGAAACTGGTGCCGGACACAGAGCAAACATGGACAGTTACTAGTTGTTAGAAGACGTTTACTTACGCAGCACGGTGAGTGCCTCCCATACTCCGGCCCTGGGGCCGAGGAAGAGCAAGGAATGTGAGAACTGGGTTCCTGCCTGGAAAAGCGAGTTAAAATTCTCAGGGTAGGAGCCTCTCCAATGGGCCTTGCCTGCAGTGGTTTTCCAGATCTCAACATCAGAGGAGAATGGAGTGTAACTTGGGGTTTGGAAACACACGTGAGACGCTCATGTGAGATGGTCAAGTGTCTCCACGGGGAGACATCCTGAGATGTGGGATACAGCAAGGGAGTTTGGTTAGGTCCCACCACCCCTGCCCCCTTACCCCCAGCAAGGTGCCCAGGGTGAACCAGGGCATTCTCTTCCTGGGAAGGTCCTCATGGGTCTAGACAGCTTCAGTGGAGCCGCGCCTTCCAGAGTTTCAGAACTTGGGTTGAACTTGACAGCTGGCGAGCCCTGAGCTCCCCCTGCCTCTGGCAAGCCTGAACTCCAGAACAAGGAGCCACTCGCCACAGAGGCCCACCTCCCAGGCACCCGGGCACCGCGGGCAGGAACTTGCCACACCACATAACGGCGATGATGAAATGTATGTCGCTAGGCAAATATTTGCTGAGCACGCACTCTGTGCCAGGCCGTTAGAAGTGTCCCAGCCTCGTCCAACCAGGTGTGCTGGGACCCGGCCATTCCCTGGGTCACCCCCTTGAGGGGTCGTGGCCTGAGGAAGCCCCCGCGCCACACTGGAGTCAGCTCTGCACAGGGCCCCACGTCTGCCTCCTAGACCTCTCTGGCCGGGGCCTCTGTCGTCAACGTCTCTGAAAAATGGGAGCAAACTCAGCCCTGAAGTGTCTGTGATGTGGGTGTGATAGCAAATAGGGTAAAGCTGGAACCGATGTAAGGTGCCCTCCTGCTGGGATCACCCAGCTGTGGACGCAGAGCGGAGCTTCATCCTTAGCGCCTGGCGCATGGTCTTCTGGAGGAGATGAGGTTTCTAGGTTAACGGACACTTGATCAGTTTAAGCACCGAAAAATTTTTTTAAATATATTGATTTTTTTTTTTTTTTTTTTACAGAGAGGAAGGGAGAGGGATAGAGAGCTAGAAACATCGATGAGAGGGAATCTTGACCAGCTGCCTCCTGCACACTCCCTACCAGGGATGCGCCCGCAACCAATGTACATGCCCTTGACAGGAATCGAACCTGGGACCTTTCAGTCCGCAGACTGATGCTCTATCCACTGAGCCAAACTGGTTAGGGCATGCACCGAAATCTTGAACGCATTCAGCTGTGAGGGCACGGAGCACAGTACAGAGGCTGCTGAGCTCCAAGGCTCTGTTTCCCCACGTTATTGCACATCGATGCCCTCAGGGACTGTCTGTCCTGAACTAAATGGCTCCGACTGATGTGCCTTCCTGGGCTCCCGTCCTCGCAACCGTCTCAGGTCGGCCCTGCTGACGCCCCCAGAGCCCCCGCCTGCTTCTAGGTGGGCCTGCGCTCCATGATGCCACCCATCCCAGTGTCTTCACTGTCTGGAGCTGGGACTGGAGTCTGGGCCTGCAGCCTCTGGCTGGACTCGATCCCTGTGTCCACTGCCTGCTCCTCAGCCCACGTTCCCTGCCACCATGCAGGGTCATCTGTGCCCAGTCCTGGCAGCTCTCCAAGGCTGCCTCCTCCAGCCCCCCGTCTTGTCCCCAGCCAGTCAGCACTGAGATCTCTGGATTTCCACCTCTATTCCTACCACCTTGGTCCTGGTCCCCTGCCCATCACGCCCAAGACGCTCACAGTCACAGCCTGTCCCACCCTCCATTTCAGCCCACCCTGAAGGACAGGCCTAATAAATGCAGAAGGCATGTTGAAAATAGAAAAATCACTATTTGGCAATCTGCATAGTCATACTTGCTTATGGCAAGAATCATCAGTGCATCCTCCAGTTACTGAGACAAATAAGTGTGATGGAAATCAGGATGTTTTTGCAACTTTTCTCTAAGCCTGAAATTACTTCAAAACAGAATGCTATTTTTTTTTTAAATCATAGGATTTAAAAAAAATATATTTTATTGATTATTTTTTACAGAGAGGAAGAGAGAGGGATAGAGAGTTAGTAACATCGATGAGAGAGAATCATCCTGGATGATCTGGAAAACCACTGCAGGCAAGGCCCAATCCCCCTACTGGGGATGTGCCCGCAACCATGGTACATGCCCTTGACCGGAATCGAACCTGGGACCTTTCAGTCCTCAGGCTGACGCTCTATCCACTGAGCCAAACCGGTTTCGGCCAGAATGCTATTTTTATTTTATTTTATTTTTTTATTTTTATTTTTTTTAAGAAAAGTATTTTTTTAATTGATTTCAGAGAGGAAGGGAGAGGGAGAAATAGAAGCATCAATGATGAGAGAGAATCATTGATTGGCTGCCTCCTGCACGCCCCCTATTGGGGATCAAGCCCAAAACCTGGGCAAATGCCCTGATCTCCTGTTTCTTTTTTTCTTTTATTTATTTATTTATTTATTTATTTATTTATTTATTTATTTTAAATAAATAAATCTTTATTGCTCAGATTATCACAATTGTTTCTCTCCCCCCCTCTCCCCACCCCATAGATCCCTTCCACCAGGTTCCTGCCACACCCTCTGCCCTTAATTTTTAAACACGGGATTTTTTTACTTCGTGTCAGCCGGGGCTGCTCACTGCACCCACGTTCTAAACCACGGTGCTGGACTATCTGAAGTAGTTCTTCCAGCCAAGGTGGCTAAGAGCTAGCTTAGAAACTTAAGAGACCACACGCCTCCTGCCTATGGCAGAGACGCGAGGGAGGCCAGCAGGAGCAGCTGGCTTTCTCTGGAAGCAGACAGTTTTCTCTGGAAGCAGACAGGCTTTCTCTGGAAGCAGTTTTCTCTGGAAGCAGACAGGCTTTCTCTGGAAGCAGGGTTGAACAAAAACAGACCCGGAGACAGGGAAGTATTGATCAGATTGTCAAACCTCAGAGGGAAGGTGGGGTAAGTGGGAGAGATCAACCTATGCATTCATGTAAGCCTAATCAGTGGTCACAGACAACAGGGGGATGGGGGCATTCTTGGGGAGGGGTTTGAGATGAGAATGGGGAGGGGGGTGAGGACAAATATGTGATACCTTAATCAATAAAGAAATTTTTTAATGTACTTTTATTGATTTTTTACAGAGAGAAAGGGAGAGAGATAGAGAGCTAGAAATGTCGATGAGAGAGAAACATCGACCAGATGCCTCTTGCACACCCCCTACCGGGAATGTGCCTGCAACCATAGTACATGCCCTTGACTGGAATCGAACCTGAGACCTTTCAGTCCGCAGACTGACGTTCTACCGCTGAGCCAAACTGGTTTCGGCAAGAATTTTTTTTTTAAAAAGAAGCAGGGTTGGGTGCTGTGGCACTTTACCTCCCCTGCCTTAGGGGGCTGGGATGGGGGGGGGGTGCCTCTTCCTCCTCTGCAGACTGAGTGAGAATGTTAGGGGTAAAAATAGAATATTGGGGACCAGCTATGGTTATGGGAAATATTAGTCATGCTCTGGAAACCCCGGTTGCCTTGCATTGGCTAAAGAAAGGCCATTCTGACCTGGCTGGGAGTTGGACACCGCCAGGACCTGGGCGTCAACCTTGGAATGTGGTCCGTGCTCATCCGAGAACTGCCTGTTATCATGGAAGGATTAACAACCTTGTTGCCCAAACAATGGAGTCCTCCCACCCATAACCTCCCATTTCCCCATGCCTGTAACCCCTACTCTCCAAGCAATCCTAGACCTCCCCTATATAAGTAGCTGGTTTATGTGGGGGCAGGGAAGAAGAGGAGAGGAGGAAGGGGTACAGCAGCTCCTGTGTTGGGTGGCAATGGCCCTGGGCTCAGCCCCAAGGTGATCTAAGTTGCAAATCTTAGTTGCTCCTTAGTTGCAGAGCAGATTCCTGTGGGTGACCTGCTGCTCTCCCACGCTGCCAGCAGTACTGGAAAAAATGTTCATGTATGATTCAACCCTGTCTCTGCTTCATGGGCAGCACCGACCCGTCGACTGTCCGGTTATAAGAGGGGTTCAAGGAGGCCGTTTGTGGACCTAGACCTGTGTGTCCTGGATTCTGGGCCTCGTGGGCTGGGAGGGACCCAGGCCCAGGAGAGAGAGATAATCCACAAAAATGCTTGGTGCAGACTCTCTGGCGACAGGGTGGGGGTTCAAGAGGCCCAGGGGGTGGTTAATAGAGCCCTGGCTCTGAGTGATTCCTGTTTCAGGCTGTGGGAGGACAGCCGCAGGAGCCAGAAGGACGCTTGCGTGGAATAGTGGGATCCCCGGAGGAGGCTGGATAGAGCTATTAGCATTCCCAACTTAGAAATGAAGTTCAGAGAGGGTAAGTGACGCTCCCAAGCCACCCAGCTAGCAAGCCACAAAGCCGGGGCTGGCATCCTTGCCTGGGAGCCTTTGTCCCATAATGCACCTCTCTCAGCTTACTTTCAAGCCCAATTCAGAGCCATATTCAAAAGTATCTGGCCCTAACTGGTTTGGCTCAGTGGATAGGGCGTCGACCTGTGGACTCAAGGGTCCCAGGTTCGATTCTGGCCAAGAACATGTACCTTGGTTGCGGGCACATACCCGGTAGAGAGTGTGCAGAGGCAGCTGATTGGTGTTCTCATCTGTGTTTCTGACTCTATCCCTCTCCCTTCCTCTCTGCAAAAAATCAATAAAATATATATATATAATATTTTAAAAAGCATCTGCTCTTCCCACAAGGGGACAGCAGGGGGCAGTGTAACCAGCGGAAGTTTGGCTCGCCTCCAGGATAGCCATTACCCCAGAAAGCATCTAAGGAATGTTTGCCTTGATCCTCTAAACGGGGAAGAACAGCAAACAGCTCTGAGGAACGTCAGTCCCTGTGTGGTTACAAACAGGACTGCCTGGGATTCTGAGTTTTGTCCAAGCCTCTTGCACGCACCGCCTTTCACAGAGGCCCCCTCCAGACCAGCGGCCCCCTGACGACTTCCTTCATGTCTGGGTTTCAGTGTCTGGCACCTAGTTGTGGCTCAGCAAATAGGGATGGCACTGAATGGTGGCTGGTGGGACATAGGGGTCAGGAGTCCTTTTCCAGCAGTGGGGGTATCCCCACCCCCAATCCCTGCCACCGAAACATGGCTTCCTCCAGATAAAACCCAGCCACAGGCAAGATGTGGTGGCATCTGTCAGCTCTATGTAAGGACCATGGTCCTGCCACCTGGTTCTTAGCCGAGCCCTCATCGATGCGGTTGCTGCTTCAGGTGGGAATATTTCAGATACTTGCCAAGGGGACACCAGTATCCAGGAATTGGGGGGTGGGATGCGGACTCTGGGAAAGGAGGAAGCAAGACTGGCTCAGTCAAAGCTCCCCCCTCCCCTTGGAAACCAAAGATGCTGGCTCAGCCTCCGCACACACCCCTGGGCCACCATCCGCAGGGCAGCTCCTGTGTTGGATGGCAGTGAGCCCTGGCACGGGGCTCAGCCCCAAGACGACCTAAGTTGCAAAGCTGACCAGGTCCCTCCCTGCCTACAACACTTTAAGTTGGTTTTTAAAAGCATTTCCTGTTCTAGCTTGGTCTCAGCTAACAACAGCGGAGGGCGCTCTGATCGCCAGGGGCGCTGCTGGTCTTTTGAGACCAGTTTATACCCCGCTTCACTCACTCATTCATTTGTTGGTCCGTCCATTCAATGTACTATGACCAGGGACTGTGCCAGGTGTTTCACAGACACGTAATATGTCAGTCTCCACAACCTCGCTCTAGATTACTATACCTCCCAACCCCCAAAAGAGGAAACAGGTCCAGAGAGGACTTGCTCTGGAACACGCTGGCGAGTCCTTGGGAAACAGTCTAGCATGGTGACCTATTCCCTGCCAGGAGCAAAGGCCTGAAGGAGAAAATAGAGCGTTGGGTGGTGAGAGACCCTCTCCCCAGCACAGGGCCGGGCTGCCCAGGGTGTGGGGCCTGTGTGTGTGTGTGACACTGGGATGGATGAGGGAAGCCTCCGTGCCTGCCGACTCAGTCTAAGACCAGCACTGCATCCTGGGAAAGGATAGGAAGTTAAGGAGGACCACTTCCTCTTCAGCCCTGATGCCTCTCTGGCCCCAGGGGGCGTTAGGAGCTGCCCCTCTGCCCCTGTCCTGCAGTACTCACCATGCCAGTCCCACCCCTGAGCTAGCAGGCTCAGAAAGGGACCCACACAATCAACCCCTTCTTCCCTAGCATCGAACCTCATCCTACCAAAGTCAGGATGGAACCCAGTTCTCCTGACTTTGATCCAGTGTCCCGTCCACTTTTTTAAAAATATATATATATTTTATTGATTTTTTACAGAGAGGAAGGGAGAGGGATAGAGAGTTAGAAACATCGATGGGAGAGGAACATCTATCAGCCGCCTCCTGCACACCCTCTACCGGGATGTGCCCACAACCAAGGTACATGCCCTTGACCGGAATTGAACCTGGGACCTTTCAGTCCTCAGGCTGATGCTCTATCCACTGAGCCAAACTGATTAGGGCCACATCCACTTTTCCTCCCTAGACATCTTGCCCAAGGAGTGCTGACAATCCATGGCAGGCAGGGAAGTGGGAGAGGGGCCTCGCTGGTGGAAGTGCACTTGGAAACCACGTGGGTTCGTGCCAGCCTGCCAGGCACCAGCAGTGAGCCAGGGAGGTCACCTCACTTGAATCCTCATCTGCATAATGGGTCCAGTAATGACAGCCTCACAGGGCTGCTGAGAGTTTCAGGGAATAACAGGAAGCATCTGGAATACAGCGGGTGCTCAATCAACTTTGAGCAGCGACCTATGAACCAGGAGGTCCCGGTTCAATTCTTGGTCAGGGCACATACCCAGGTTGTGGGACTGGCATGCAGGAGGCAACTGATCAATTATTCTCATCTCTCTCTTCCTCTCCCTTCCTCTTTGAAATCATTAAAAAACATATTTAAAAAAACACATGGGGAAAGAACCAGCTCCCCTCCCTTCCCCAATACCCCCCCCCCCTTACCCCTCCCAACACACACCCAAAGGCAAAATAAAACAATATTAGAAAACCCATACAGGGAATAGTATGGAGATTCTGGGAGGAAAACATTTACTCCCCATATTTATCATCTATGGACAAACGGGAATCAATAATGTGGAGAACAAATGGGAGGATTGCTGATTTGGGGTTATCACCCGCTATTTCCCCAGGGACTCTTAAACTTGATCTTTCCCCAAATACACAGTCGTCTGGCCAATGAGCTTCTTCAAGAGACCCGGTTTGTGGGTCTCCCAGGAAGGGCAAAGTAGGGCAGGGCTGGGGGGGAAGGCAAATGGCTGGTGTCCAGAGACCCTCACCCTGGGCGCCCCAGCTCCGGGCGGCACGGACTACAACTCCCGGCATGCCCCGCGCGCGCTGCCTCCCCGCCTCCAGTCCCGGGGAGCCGGGAGGATGCAGAAGCCGCTGCCAGCAATGAGGATGGAGGCCGGGGAGGCAGCGCCGCCGGCGGGGGCGGGCGGCCGCGCCGCGGGCGGCTGGAGCAAGTGGGTGCGGCTCAACGTGGGGGGCACCGTGTTCCTGACCACCCGGCAGACGCTGTGCCGGGAGCAGAAGTCCTTCCTCAGCCGCCTGTGCCAGGGGGAAGAGCTGCAGTCCGACCGGGTGAGGCCCTCGGTGGGCGGAGGGGGCCGGGGAGGCGGCGGGGCGCGGGGGGAAAGGGGGACAGCTTGCTGGAATCGGGGCTGTCCGGCCTGGCACGCCCGCCGGGCGGGCTGGGAAGCCGGCAGGTTTTGTTTCCCAAGAGCCGGAGGCGGGAAGACCGGGCTGGAGGCGGGGAGGAGGAAGTGGATCCAGGGTGAGGGCTGTGCCCATTGCCTTGGAAACCGCACCACGCCAGGCAACGGCCATTTGGAGCTTAGAGAGCTGCCCTGGGCGCTCCCCAGAAGGCAGGTGGATCAGGGTCCGCCTTCCCCGCTCCTCTGGAGCTTTGGGGACAGGCAGGCACGCAGGGCCTTCAGTCCCCCCAAACGGGACTTTCTGCCTGGGGACGGAGTGCCTGCGGCTGCTAATCCCGGCCTCTGGGGAAGAAGGAGAGGCCTGGGTGTGCAGGGAGCTGGGAGAGAAGGCCCAGGCTGCCCTCTGAGCTGGGCTTTGTCTGGGAGCCGAGCTTGCCTGGCAGGCACCACGTCTGGGGGGTCCATTCGCTCTTGTGTGACCCGCATCGGATCCTTCCTGTGCCAGGCTCAGCCCCCTGTCTGTGGCCGGAGGAGGCTGGTTGGAGATGGCCCCTAAGGCCCCTTTCTACCCTCTCTCCTGACCATCCGATGCTGTGACCTTGGGCAAGTCCCTCACCTCCTGACACTCCTCGCTCTCTGTAGGGTTGTGCTGCTGCCTGCCCGCCTTCCTGCAGGCTGAGGGTGTGCGGTGAGGTAATGGCTCCTCTGGAAACAGAGTAGTGCTGGCTTCAGGGGAACAGCCACTAAGAGGGACGATCACTGAGCCCTACTTTGGGTTGGGTGCCACTGAGACCTCACTGGGTGCTCACAGTGACCCCTCGTTACAGAGGAGAGGAGTGAGGCTCAGAGAGGCCAAATCACTGTCCTGAGGTCACACAGCCAGGAAAAGGCAGAGGCGGGATCCGGACTCTCGGCTCCATCATGCTCTCTCATTCCAGGGAAGAGCAGACTCTACGCTCTCACTCCTTCCCTCCCTCCCACCCTTCTCTGGGCCCGAAGTGAGGGGTGGGCAGGGGGAGGCCTCACTCTTCTCCCGCCATAGCCTGTGCCCTCCCTCCTCTAGGATGAGACCGGGGCCTACCTCATCGACCGGGACCCCACCTACTTCGGGCCCATCCTGAACTTCCTCCGGCATGGCAAGCTGGTGCTGGACAAGGACATGGCCGAGGAGGGTGAGTTGGTCCAGGGGGGGCCGGCCAGCCAGGCCTTCCGTGGCGGTCAAAAGCCATGCCTCCCAGCCTGCAGCGAATGCTGCTTTCTTCTGTGCTCCCTGCCTCTTCCCATTCACGCCAGGGCTGAATCCCAGGGGCTCTGCCAGGCTGACCAGCCTGCGCTGCCACTGGGGAGGTGACAGCAATGCCCAGGCAGAGGTCAGAGGGAGCCAGCGAGGCTGGCAGCCTTCACTGTGGGCAGGGATGCCCTTTCTCCTGGTTCCTGGGTGTGAACGGGCTGAAGCTGGGCAGGGTGATCCGGTATCTCCGATGCCTGGCGAGCGAGGGCTTGCCTGCTGGCAGCAGGTGGGTGGAGCGGCAACATCAGTGCTGGCTGTGGGCGGAGGTGGGGGAGCCGTGCCTGGGGGGTGGCCTCCTGGCACAGTCAGTGCCACATCAACTCTTTGTTGGGGCACAGGGTGTGGCTCCGGGTCAGCTGACCTGGCCAGGCCAGCCTGGACATGTCACTTCTCCTTTCTGAGTCTCCACCTGTATGTGACATGTACATGGAATCCACACAGGTGGAAGCATATTTTCCAACAGCGAATGCCACGAGTCCCTGTGCGTGTAGCCCATTGGTATCTGGCACCCTCCTCCCTGGTGCGTCCCCAGGGGCCAGGACTTCACAGTCAGAGCTCCCAGCTCCAGGCAGCCCCTCCAGGAGCAGGTGCCCGGGTGTGGCCTGGGCCGGGAGCAGCTCCGAGGGGAGGGGACTCAGCACTCTGGCTGCCTCACAGCCAACACCTGTTTACGTTCAGGTTCTGGGTTTCTCCGTGTCTGGCCACTCCCAGCGCCTTCAGACAGGGTGAGGGCCCCATGTGGGCGCTAGGGAACCTGGGAGGAGACATACTAGCCGTGTGACACCGGCACAGTCACTTTTCCTTGTGTGCCTGCGTGCCGCATCCGTGACTGTCACGGGGTGACAGCAGCACCCACCTGGCTGAGCTGCCGCGGGGAGGAAGGGAGCTAAAACAAGTGCGTCACCCAGCGCAGCATCTGGCACCAGAGGGCCGGTGACGCAATGGTTGCTGTCCGTCCCCCGCAGGGCCCCACGCGGGCACTGATGCAGCGCCACTCGCTGCCCGCTTGCTCTGTGTGAGGTGCTGTGTGGGCACCGGGGGCAGCAGGGAGCCCAGAGGCCAGTCAAGGAAGCAATCAGAGGGGTCCCTGCCCCGAAGGGGGTTAGGGGAGTGCAGAGGCCAGGGGCTATTCCACATCAATGAAGAGGCCACCACTTAGTCTCTAAGACTCAGTTCCCTGAACGGGTTGGGGACGATAATGCCTGCTTCCCTCTGTCCCCGGGGCCTCGGTGAGCACGGGAGGGGCTTTGCAGACTGGGAGGTGCGGGACGGGGGCAGGCACATGTAGCGTGCCAGGGCCCAGTCCCAGCAAGCCTGCCTCCTGCACTCCCCTTCCCCCCCTCCCCCCCCCACTGGAGATGTGTCTGCAACTAAGGTACATGCCCTTGACCAGAATTGAACCTGGGACTTTTTAGTCCGCAGGCTGGCGCTCTATCCACTGAGCCAAACCGGTTTTGGCAGAGCCTGCTGCCTCTTGGCAGCCCAGAGCAGCCCCCAGATCAGGGGACGGGCAGGCACCCCCGGTCACCACGCTCGGCCCAGCAGAGATGTCGGGCTGCTGAGCGGCAGTATCTCGCCCCTTCCACAGAGAGCGTGGGACGCGAGGAAGGAGATGTCCCCTCTTGCTTGACCCCTGACCTCGAGAGATGCTCGTCACCCTCGTGTGACTGGAGCAGGAGGTAGGTGTGGAGGAGGAGGGGACCCGGGAAGAGTGGGAGCAGCGGGCGTGACCCGGGCCGGCTTTGTCTGTGCCGCCAGGGGTCCTGGAGGAAGCCGAGTTCTACAACATCGGCCCGCTGATCCGCATCATCAAGGACCGGATGGAGGAGAAGGACTACCCCGTCACACAGGTCAGGGGGCAGGGAGTGGCAGGGCCGCCCCCGTGGCCAGAGCGGTTGGTGACAGGGAGAGGGAGGGAGGCGGGCGGAAGGAGGGGGGAGGCGGGACAGTGTTTGCCTCGGGGAGTCCCAGCGGGCCTGTCAGGGAGGGGAGTTGTCCAGCTCCCACACTGCCCAACCGAGCCCCAGACTGGGAGCCAAACACTGGCTCTTCCCTGCCCGGATCTGTCTGCTGTGTGGCCTGGGGCCGCGCATGCCCTCTCTAAACCTTGGATCCCTCTGGTGGGATACAGAGATGTTGGGGATTGCCCACCCCTTCCCTTCCTCAGGCCAAATGAGGCCAGTGTGGAGGTACAGGGGCCCTTCGGGGGATAGCGAGGGGTTAGTCAATCGCATATTTCTTGAGATCAGCCGGTCCCCTGGGGGGCACAACCCAGCACAGTGTGGACCCTGGGCCTCCGTGGCCAGTCAGTAGGGGGAGCTGTGAGATGCTCGGCCCGCCCTGGTGCCAAGGCACCCTTTCCTGGGCCCACTTTGAAGGGGGAGGTTCCGTGCGTGTCTCCTGGAGGACTGCCTCAGTTAATGACCCAGAATGTCCCCCAGGCCCGTCCCTTCCCTCTTGTATCACAGTTCTGGCTCTGCCCCTCTTCAGCTGGGTGACCTTGGGCAAGAACTGACCCCCTGTGAGCCTTCATGAGAATTCCATGAGTCAGAGAGTGTTTGGAAGGATCGAGATCACGAATGTGGCTCCCGTCTTCCCATCCTGCCTCTCCCCGCCTCCTCTCCTCTCCTCCTCGGGGATGTGGTGTGGGAGGACAGAAGAGGCTCACCCCCTCCTGGCTGCCCTCCACGTTGCCCTTCTTCTGCCCGCAGGTCCCGCCCAAGCACGTGTACCGCGTGCTGCAGTGCCAGGAGGAGGAGCTCACGCAGATGGTCTCCACCATGTCTGACGGCTGGCGCTTCGAGCAGGTGGGCTGGGGGCGGGGGACCGTGCCCAGGGCCTCCCAGGCTCCAGGCAAAGTAGGCCCCTCCCTTCCTGTAGCCCCAGTCTTGGGTCTCATACTGCTGCCCCCCCCCCCCCCCCGGAAGGGTCCTCTTAAGTTACAGCACAAAGACCAGCGTGGCCGGTGTGGCTCAGTGGTTAGGAGGCCATAGTTTGATTCCCAGTCAGGGCACATGCCTGGGTTGCTGGCTCAGTCCCATGTGGGGACGTGTGGGAGGCAGCCGATCCATGGTTCTCTCTCATCACTGATGTTTCTAGCTCTCCCTCTCTCTCTCCCTCCTCTGTCTGAACTCAATAAAAACATATTGAAAGTAAGCACAACCAGGATAGGCCACCGTTGGCAGCAGATGAACCAGGACGAGAGAGGGTAGAATGCCACCTGCTGCCGGCATTTCTGGGCGTCCTCCGTGCTCACGGCGGCCGGGGGCTGGTCTCCACCGTGGTGTGAGCGAGCCTCCGGCCCCCAAGTGGCAGCTCAGGCAGGAGTTGAGGTCCACATAGGGGACCAGAGTCCACCTGGGGCTGACATGCCCCGTCACATCAGAGAAGCCGGCAGCCGTGGCTCGGCCTGAGGCGTTCATGTAACCTGTCGTTCCTCCCAGGCCAGAGGCAGGCTTCCCATCCCAGCAGTGCTGGCCTCGGCTGACAGCAGAGGTCCCGCCCGTCTCAGGTTCCCGGGGAACGGAGCCAGTGCTAGCCCGGGGTCAGGCTGACCCGTGGAGGAGGACAGGGTTTGGCTGGCCCTCTACCCACACCCACACGCACGCTGCCCGGGGGAGGTGGCGCAGGGAGCAGGCTGGGCCCCCTGGGGTGGCCGGGCCGTGTGGAGGAAGGAGCCCCCTGCAGGAGCCAGAGGCCTGAGCCACCTCTAGGCCTTCCCAGGGACATGCAGTGTGACTGGGCAGGTCGCCTCTCCACCCCGTGCCTCAGTTTCCTAACCTGGGATGTAGCGCTGCCGTGAGATGAGAAGAACCGCTGATTGAGTCCCTCATGCAGGGTGGACCTGAGCCATTGGGAGGAGCTGGCATCGTGCAAATAGTCAGACGTGTTTACGTCCGTGAGACCCTAGAGAGGCCGGAGGGCCTCAGGTGCTGACTCCTGGCCACTCGTCCTGGCTGAGGGCTGTCAGCAGGGCACCCCCTTCCCAAGCCTCGCTCTGCTGCTGAAGGAGGGTCCCGGGCGGAGGGAGGCCTGTCGGTGCGGGTCCTTTGTGAGCCGGAGGGGCCGGTGGGAGTAGGGCTGCCTTTGCGAGCCCCCGGGAGTCCTTGGGCACTGCCTGTGTCCTCAGAGGCCGAGCCAGCAGGCCAGGGGCGACCGGTCTGGCCTAAGCAGTGGGCATCCTGTCCTGCCTCTGCTTCCGAGAGGGAACAGAAGGTTCTGTGGGCTCCCTCCTGCCCACCTGGTCCCAGGGCTGTGCCAGCCTCATCTGGTGCAGGAGGGCAGCCTGCCCATTGCAGACCTGCTTTTAGGAGGTGGCCTGCTAGGTCTGGGCTGGGCCGGGCCAGGAGCAGCCGTGCTGCCACTGCCTCCCTCCAAGGACAGGCCCAGCCCGGCAGGGCGGCTGGTCTGAAAGCACACCGGGCGCAGAGGGGGAGGGGAGGAGATGGACTCGCAGCCCAGAGCTGCTCTGGAAATCCCGGAAACAAACCCAGGGATGCGCCTGAGCAGAGCAGCCAGCTCAGGGCACAAGTTGGTATTTTTTTTTTTTCTTTAATCCTCACCTGAGGGTATATTTTTTCTTTGCTTGTTAGAGAGTGTGGGAGGGAGGGAGAGGGGGAGGGGAAAAAGAGAGAGAAACATGGACGTGAAAGAGACACATTCCTTGGTTGCCTTCCGCATGCGCCCCAACCAGGGGCTGGGGGTTGAACCTGCAACCGAGGTGCTTGCCCTTGACTTGGAATCGAACCCGGCACCCTTCGGTCCGCTGGCTGGCTGACTCGCTAACCACTGAGCAATCTGGCCAGGGCACACGGTATCTTGACAAGCGCCGATGCCCACCTCCTCCCTCCGCACTGCCCCCTGCTGGACTGATCCTCTCTCTCCCCGCCATGGCCACCCTGCAGCTGGTGAACATCGGATCCTCCTACAACTACAGCGGGGAGGACCAGGCCGAGTTCCTGTGCGTGGTGTCCAAGGAGCTCCACAGCTCCCCCCACGGGCTGAGCTCCGAGTCCAGCCGCAAGACCAAGGTGAGCCCCAGCCTCGCCGCTTCCCCCCTGCCCCCTGCCCTCCACGTGGCCACCCCTGCTTCTTCTTTCTCCCTCCCGCCGCACACGCATCACCCCCCTCATAGTCCACGCCATCCATCCCATGCCACCCACGGTCCTGTCTGTTCATGCTGGTCGCCCAGGCCCAGGCTGGGGAGCAGTGAGATGGGACCATCCCAAGGCCGCGGCAGGAGTGACTTAGATGCCACTTGAATGGTGGCCACGGGGCGGGGGTGGGGGGGGTGGGTGGGAGGGTGCTCTGGACCAGGCGTCTGGCATGGCGTGCCTCGCTCTGGGTGATCCGGGACAAGTCCCGTCCCCCCGGCACTTTCCCTGTGCTGTCTGAGAATGGAGGGGGGCAGGTCACATCCTCTCTGTGGTGCCGTCAAGCTCAGAGCTTCCGGGATCCCAACGGCCCCTTTATCCCCAGGGGCAGGCCAGTGTCCCCAGCCGACCTGGGCCCCTTTCCCAGGCTCCTGTGTTTTCACCCTGGCCTCCGAGGCCGCCTCAGCAGCCACCCTGGACCCACAGCTGGCCACATGCCTCGGGCGCCGTCCATAGGGCCAGGGAGGCCATTCCTTCTGGGGTCTGTCCCTGTGCTTTGGAGACGTATGAGTTCTGGCTTCCTGTCTGTCTGTCTGCCTTCCCTGGCCCGGGACTTCCCTCGCCCACCACCCCACTCCGGACGGCGGCTGGTGCTGCCCTGCAGGGTGCACAGTGAGCCTCCCGCTCCTGCCCCCGGGCCTGCGCCTGTTGCTGGCAGCCCAGAATGGGGTGGTGTCTGCCTTGGGTCTCCCACGGCCTCATTTCAACCGGGGCTGCCCTCCTAAAACAAAGCCTTCCCAGGCGTCCCCCAAGGACACCCCAGCCACACTGCCATCCAGTCTTACGCCCTCTCCGGCCCCTTCTCCCCCTGCCCAGCCTGCGTCCTATGCCAGCAGCCAGACTGGCCCCCTTCCTGAGCTGGTTTCTCCCAGGCTGCCCAGGGGCCTGGCCAGTTGCCCAGCTTCTTCGCTGTAGCCCTCCCCTCTCCTGGCCCGCCCAGCCCACTGCCCGCCCTGCGCTGGGGCCCGTGGGGACAGCCGCCCTCAGGCCCCGCGCTAGCTCTCCACTCTTTCTTCCCTGGGTCCGCCGGCTGGTCCACAGAGCGCGGAGGAGCAGCTGGAGGAGGAGCAGCAGCAGGAGGAGGAGGAGGTGGAGGTGGAACAGGTGCAGGTGGAGGCAGATACACAGGAGAAAGGTGCAGCCAACCCCCGAGGAGAATGATTGCTCACACAAGCCGGAGCCTCCCGCCTGCTCCCTGCTGGAGCCAGCGCAGAACTGGGGGGGCCGAGGGCTGGTGTGGGGGGTGGGGACGGGCCGCCAGGGTTAGCTCAGCCGCCTCGCCTGGCACCTCACCTGCATAACCATCCCTTCTCTCACTTTCTCTTTGCAGCCCAGTCATCTCAGGATCTCGCTAACCTTTTCTCCCTCCCACCACCGCCTCCTCCTCCTCCTCCTCCGCTTCCCGCTGGAGGTCCTGCCTCATCTTCATCCACCTCTTCCTCCTCCTGGATCTCTGCACCCTGCCTCTTCCCTCTCTGCCCCTGTCCGGGCTTCCTCTCTGCCTGCTCACGCCTCCATCCCGGGGCCGCCCTGGTCCCAGCCTCCCGCGCCCTCCCCCCAGGCGCCCCAGCCTTGCATCTCAGAGCATCCTGCCTGCCGCCTCCTGCCTCCCTCTCGGCAGCTCCCGCCTCCTGGCCTGGGGAGGAGGGATGCAGCCGCACCTCCTCGGGGCCCGCCTGCACCACCGGGCACCTCTGAGGCTGGGCCCCCCGGCCCCAGCGCCGCCCCTCCTCGCCTCCTCCTCACCTTTCCTCCTTGCAGGTTCCCGTCTGCACCCCTCAGACCCGAGGCTGCGCGGGCAGAGAGGGCCTCAGCCCCCCGCCCACCCCCAGGGCGCCACCCCCGGCCGGTAGCCTGGCGGAGCTGGAGGGAGGGCAGAAGCCAGGAGGGTACTCAGATCTTGTTCCTTGGACGTGGGCCAGACTTCTGGCAGATTTCTCTCCCCCACCCCAAAGTACCTCAGCTGATCTTGGCCTTGGATAGGAGGCTGTGAGGAAGAAGGAAGGTAGGGGTGGACGCGGTGCCATCGGCGCCAGAGCAGGCCGGGCAGGAGGGGGATGTAAGCCAGATGCCCTGGCCTCCCCCTGCACACGAGCTCCTGCCCCACAGCCTCGGGGCCTGGGTTCCCGTCCTGCGGGGAGGGAAGGACAGGCCACACGTGGGTTCCCTTGGCCCGTGAGGAGCCAGCCAAAGCCGGCTGCAGGGATCGGCGTGCGGCCGGAAAAGCCCCCACTCAGCCTGTCCGCCTGCTCCGTGACTCAGGGCCATCCCTGCTTCTCTAAAGTGGGGACAGAGGGCTGCTTTCTGACCCGCCGCTCTTGGCCTTGAGCCCCTGGCCAGAGTCCTGGCAGAAACTGGCCTCCTGGGTAGGCAGCCACCCTCAGCCCAGAATGGGGCGTGGGGCTCCCAGACAGGGGAGCTGGGCGCCCTCCCTCTCCCCCTCCTCCTGGGCTCTGTCTGAATCCACCTTCTCCGGGCCTCAGCCGCCTCCCCGCTCCCAGATCGGACCCTGTGACTCACCTACCTCTTTCTCTCTCCCTCTCTCCCCTCCCCTCCCTCCATCTCAATCTCCTTTCTGTCCTCCTGGTCCCCCCACCCTGCCACCCTCCTCACCTCCCCCTCTCCCCTCTCCCGGTGTTCTGACCACCCCACACCTGCCCCCCTGCCTTTCCCTCTTTATTTTCTAGCTGTTACAAGCCAGAGGCACCCGGATGTGAGGCCCCAGATCACCTCCAGGCACTTGGGGTTCCGATCCGAAGTCCTTTATTTTTGTACCATGGGGTGGGCCCCCGGTTCCAGGTGGAGGAAGTGCCCTTCCCACTGCCACCTCTGCCTACACCGGTGGGGCCGTGACCGCCCCCTGCCCCCCCGGTGGGCCCTGGCACCCCTGGGCAGAGCCGCCTGCCTGTGTGGCGCTGTCCGGCTGTGTCTCCCAGGCCCCTACGGCCCTTCCCCCGAGACCCCCAGCTGCATGGCGGATACCGTCCCTCCCGGCCCGGTCACGTCACCTCCTTGAGCCTTAGCTTCCCCGTCTGTCAAATGGGTTCACTCCCCCCCCACCTACCTCACAGGGTTGTTGTGAGGTGCAGGGACTCAGAAAGCCCTCCCTCAGGGAGGAGGTGCCAGGCCCAGGCAGCCCCCTCACCCTCCCCTCCAGGGGAAGGACAGTGTGGCCCCAGATGAGGTTCGGTGTTGGTGGGGGTGGAGGGGGGGTGGCCCTCGGCCTTCCCCTGGACCACTCCCACCCTCCGTACGCTGTGGGCAGAGCCCAGGCCAGGAGCGGGCAGGCCACTGAGGGCCCAGGGAGACGGGAAGGGGGCCGCTCCCCGTCAGGGCCTCTGTCTGCCTCTCAGCGGGGTACCTCCCAGCTGTGTCTGCACCGCCGTGAAATAAAACCTGAGGAAACAGCGGCCTGGCTGCCTCGCTCTTTCTCGGGGTCGCTTTTGGGGGCCGGGGCTAAACTCGAGGTGGGATGATGACCCCAAGGTAAGGGCCTTTTTCCTAAAACCCGGGGCCCTGCCCTACTGTGTCACTCCCATAGGCTAGGGGACTCGTGGCGGGATCCTCTGCTCAGATGTCAAGGGCATCAGTCTTGCCTCGCTGGTGCCCACCCCTCTCTGGGCCCCCTTTTCCTCATCTCCAACCAGGGCCTGGGCCAGGCCAGCTGGGCTGCTGAGGGGCAGGGAGCTGGGCACCGGGAGACTACCTGCCTCCCACTCAGCTGCGGTTCAGATGGCCCTCTGCTGGCTGGCTTCAGCTGCTGCTCGTGGGCACCCCTCTCCATCCCGGCCCCCAGAACCCCCTGCTCCATCCCGGCCCCCAGGCCACCCCTCTCCATCCCGGCCCCCAGGCCCCCCTCTCCATCCCGGCCCCCAGGACCCCCTGCTCCATCCCGGCCCCCAGGACCCCCTGCTCCATCCCGGCCCCCAGGCCCCCCTCTCCATCCCGGCCCAGGACCCCCTGCTCCATCCCGGCCCCCAGGCCACCCCTCTCCATCCCAGCCCAGGACCCCCTGCTCCATCCCAGCCCCCAGGCCCCCCTCTCCATCCCGGCCCCCAGGCCACCCCTCTCCATCCCGGCCCCCAGGCCACCCCTCTCCATCCCGGCCCCCAGGACCCCCTGCTCCATCCCGGCCCCCAGGCCACCCCTCTCCATCCCGGCCCCCAGGCCCCCCTGCTCCATCCCGGCCCCCAGGCCCCCCTCTCCATCCCGGCCCCCAGGCCACCCCTGCTCCATCCCGGCCCCCAGGCCACCCCTCTCCATCCCAGCCCCCAGGCCACCCCTCTCCATCCCGGCCCCCAGGCCCCCCCTCTCCATCCCGGCCCCCAGGCCCCCCTCTCCATCCCGGTCCCCAGGCCCCCCTCTCCATCCCAGCCCCCAGGCCCCGCTGCTCCCCGCTGTGACAGCTCTTGGTCGCCTCCACCCCTCCCTGTTGCTCCATCCTCTGCCCCAAGTCCCAGGAAATAGAAACACCCAGGCACCTGCCCCGCGTCTTCAAACTACGGCCCGTGGGCCACATGCGGCCCACAGAGGAGTCTGATCCGGCCCGCCAGGTTTTTTGGGCAGTGAGCGCAGCCGAGGTGTTACAGTAGGAATTAGTAGTTCATATAGTCCGGCCCTCCAGCTCTCTGAGGGACCGTGATCTGGCCCCCACTTTAAAAAGTTTGAGGACGCCTGTCTTAGAGCCTAGACTCCGGCTTCTCTTTCCCACTCTGCCCAGCCCAGCCTCCCACTCCTCCGTGGCCGCAGCCATTTTTGTTGGGATTTGTTTATCTTCCATCATTTGTTTATCTTCCATAACCTTAGCTGAGGCCAGGGCAGGTGGAAAGCTTGGCCGCCTCCTGCCTGCCAAATGCGGAGGAAAATAATGAGTTGGTGTCAGCTTTCCCTCCCTAGCCCTGAGGTTGGTGCCCCATTCAATCTGCAAAACAGCCTTGGATCAGAGGTTTTATTCCAGGCAGCTGAGCTCCCCTCCAGCTGAGTGGGCAGTGGAGGCCCAGGCGCAGGGAGGTGGGTGGCTCCACCCCCTTTGGCTCACGGTGGCAGCTGGCCTGCTTGGCGGTCTCCATTCTGAGGGCCCCTCCCCGGGGGCACCTTGCACCCCCACCTCTTAAGTTAGGCCGGGGTGTCTCAGTCTGGAATCTGCTCTCTGGAGTGGGTGCCCCCAAGCAGCCTCTGTACTGGAGGGAGTGGGGTGGGGTACGGGGCTCAGACACTCCTACTGGGACCCGGAAGCCACATCCTCACTGCTGAGCAGTCCCCCGAGTTCTCAGGGGAGATGGGGCAGGGAGGGAACCGGGAGGCCTGGTGACCGTGCCAAGCTCTCGGAAAGCACTGACCAGCTGCGGGCGCTCCTCCCTGCTTGTGCTCTCTGGGGTGATGCCAGGGAGCAGGCTGGGGGGCAAGATGCCACTCTGGCTTCCACAGGGCCCGCTGCCCAGAGTACTTGTTCCCCGCCTGAGGGTGCCCTGGCCCCGAGTACAAGAGGTGGCGCCAGCTCTGCAGGGGGCAGCTCCTCAGGTCAGCACCTGCTGGATCCAGCCGATCACACCTGTGATGCGGGTGTAGACGCCAAAGTAGTTGGGCCGGCCGCAGCCCAGGCCCCAGCTGACCAGCCCCGCCAGGAACCAGCGGCCACTGGGCTCCCTGCACACCAGCGGGCCGCCCGAGTCGCCCTGAGAGGGGAGAGGAGAGACAGGGCTGCATCAGGGCAGGGGGCTGGCTGCTGGGGGTTTCTGAGTGACAGTAAGACTGTATGTAGTCGTGGCATTCCCTCTTGAAGCCTCGGCTTCCCCGGACCTTGGCCTGGCCTCCAGCGTGTCCTGGCTGGCCTGGAACTGGGGGTGTGTCCACATGCCCCGTCCACCTCTGTCTCCTTCTGGGGGCTCCTAGTCCCCTCTCCCGTGTCACCTCGGGCAAACTGCCTTGCGGTGGGCGAGGAGCAGAACTGGGTTTGAGCCTCAGGCCTGCCTGCCCATCACAGTCTCTTCTGATCTGTGGCCTACAACCTGGGGCAAGTCCCTCAACCTCCTTGAGCCTCGGTTTTGTCATCTGTAAAATGAGGACAGCCATCGCCACCTTGCTGGGGCAAGCTGATGTAAGCACAGGACCAGACCCTGGAGGTCGTGGGCATTGCCCCTCTGCCCCCCCCACCCGGTCCCCCAGCCCCGGGAGTCACCTGGCAGGCGTCCTTCTTGCCCGTGTGGTAGCCGGCGCACAGCATGCGGGGCGTCACCTGGTAGCGGTAGGCCTCGCTGCACAGGTCCTGCGTGATCAGCTGTACGTCCACCTTCTGCAGGCCGTTGCTGGTGGGCCCTGCCCGGCACGCGCAGGGTCAAGGCCACAGGGCAGAGGTCAGAGGATCCAAGGTGCCCAGGAGTCCCCACCCTTCCTTCCGCTGTTCCCTCCGCATCCCAGGAGCCCTCTCCCGCCTGCCCAGCCCTCACCTCCGCCCACGGTCACTCCAAGCTCCTCCCGTGCGGCCCACGGGCACAGAGCCCCTGCCCAGAGCCTGTCTCCAGCTCTTCCTCCCTTCTGCCTCCTGCTTGAGCCCCATGTCGCCTCCCCTCTGCTCAGTGACAGCCCCGGGGAGTCTCCAGAGCACACGTCTGACCCTCCACGCGCCCTCTGACCTCTCGGCACCTGCCCCTCCAGCCCAGCGCTTCTCCGCGAGGCTCAGGGCTGCGTGGAACCCCAGGCAGCTCCAACGAGCACGGGGCCTGGTCTCTCTCGGAGACTGTTCGCCCGGGGAGGGCGGCCACCAGTGTTTCTCTCCATGCCCTCGGGTGGGCCAAAAGCACAGGCAAGGTCCTCACCCAGCTCCCTGCCCTCAGGTCCTCCTCACCCAGCCCCCTGCCCTCAGTCCTCGCCCAGCTCCCTGCCCTCAGTCCTCACCCAGCTCCCTGCCCTCAGCCCTCACCCAGCCCCCTGCCCTCAGTCCTCACCCAGCCCCCTGCCCTCAGTCCTCACCCAGCTCCCTGCCCTTAGTCCTCACCCAGCCCCCTGCCCTCAGTCCTCACCCAGCCCCCTGCCCTCAGTCCTCACCCAGCTCCCTGCCCTTAGTCCTCGCCCAGCTCCCTGCCCTCAGTCCTCGCCCAGCTCCCTGCCCTCAGTCCTCACCCAGCCCCCTGCCCTCAGTCCTCACCCAGCTCCCTGCCCTCAGTCCTCACCCAGCCCCCTGCCCTCAGGTCCTCCTCACCCAGCCCCCTGCCCTCAGTCCTCGCCCAGCTCCCTGCCCTCAGTCCTCACCCAGCTCCCTGCCCTCAGTCCTCACCCAGCTCCCTGCCCTCAGTCCTCACCCAGCTCCCTGCCCTCAGTCCTCACCCAGCCCCCTGCCCTCAGTCCTCACCCAGCCCCCTGCCCTCAGTCCTCACCCAGCTCCCTGCCCTCAGTCCTCACCCAGCCCCCTGCCCTCAGGTCCTCCTCACCCAGCCCCCTGCCCTCAGTCCTCGCCCAGCTCCCTGCCCTCAGGTCCTCCTCACCCAGCTCCCTGCCCTCAGTCCTCACCCAGCCCCCTGCCCTCAGTCCTCACCCAGCCCCCTGTCCTCAGTCCTCACCCAGCTCCCTGCCCTCAGTCCTCACCCAGCTCCCTGCCCTCAGGTCCTCCTCGCCCAGCCCCCTGCCCTCAGTCCTCACCCAGCCCCCTGCCCTCAGTCCTCACCCAGCTCCCTGCCTGCCCTCCGCTGGCTTCGCTGCCGTCCTGGGGATGCTTCCCTCCGCCAGGCCCTGCCAGCTCACACTCCTCCCTCAGCCCAGCCCCTCCCCTGGCCACCGCCTCGGGGCTGCCTGCACCTGCCCGCCCAGGTCAGCTCCTAGCACTGTCTCCCTGGCCAACGCTCTTTCCCTCTTCACACCCCTCAGCCATCTCCATTGCTGGCATGGCGCATGGCGTAGCTGCTCCTACATGAGCCGTGGGAGGAGACGGGTGAATGGACGAGCGAGGGAGCGGCCTTTGCTGTACCTCTGCTCTCCATCGTCCTCTGGGGAAGTCGCCCTTCACCCGGGCCTGTTTGCTCATTTATGAGTGATTCCGACAGTGCTGCCCCCACATTGTAAACCCCTGTACTCCTTCTGAGAGCCACCGCCATGGAGGGCAGGGCGTGGCTGGGGCTCTGCCAGCCCGGGCCTGGTTCTCAGAGCTGAGATGGCCTCCAGGACAGCTGCCCCGCCAGGTCAGGCAGGGAGGGGAGGGACCCCTGTGCCTGAGAGGCTGTGGCAGGAACAGCATGGGCTCCGGGGCCAGGCAGTCCTGAGACCCAGTCTCGGCTCCAGCCCTCCATGGCTGTGTGTCTTTGGCAACAGTGAAATGTCTCTGAGCCTCAGTTTCCCCATCCATAAAATGGGGCCGTACTACTCACCCTAGGGTTATGGCATGGATTAAATTAGATCCTGTTCCTCTAAAATCAAACC